GTTCGCTCCACGATGGTCGGTGGCAATGCCCCAGTCTTGAGAGCGGAGATTGCGACCCTGCTGGCGAAGGGTGCAATCGAGACGGTCCCTCCAGCCGAGGTGAGGTCCGGGTTTTACAGCCCCTACTTCATTGTCCCCAAAAAGACCGGTGGGTTACGACCGATCCTGGACCTGCGCATTTTGAACCGTTCTCTCCATCGACTACCGTTCAAAATGCTCACGGCCAAACGCATTTTCGAATGTGTTCGGTATCAGGATTGGTTTGCAGCGATCGACCTGAAGGACGCGTACTTCCATGTGTCCATTTTACCTCGACACAGACCGTTTCTTCGGTTTGCCTTCGAGGGCCAGGCATATCAGTACGCCGTTCTCCATTCGGGTTAGCTCTGTCCCCTCGCGTCTTCACGAAGATCGTCGAGGCAGCCCTTGTTCCCCTTCGCGAACACGGGGTTCGCATCCTGAACTATCTCGACGACTGGCTGATACTAGCACACTCTCGAGCTCAGCTTTGCGAACACAGAGACCTGGTGCTCCGGCACCTAGCCCGTCTGGGCCTTCGGGTCAACCGGAGAAGAGCAAACTTTGCCCCGTGCAGAGGATCTCTTTTCTCGGCGTGGAGATAGACTCGGTCGCCATGTCCGCGCAGCTCACGAACGAGCGCGCGCACTCACTGCTGACTTGTCTTCGACAGTTCGAGGGCAAGAGTGCGGTTCCACTGAAACTATTTCAGAGGCTCCTGGGGCATATGGCATCCGCGGCCGCGGCAACGCCGCTCGGTTTGCTTCATATGAGACCGCTTCAGCTGTGGCTTCGCGATCGAGTCCCGAGGTGGGCATGGCATCGCGGCTCGCTCCGAGTCCCAGTGACTCCGGCATGCCGGCGAACCTTCTTCCCGTGGTCGAACCTCAGCTTCTTACGGACCGGCGTCCCTATTCAGCGAGTTTCCAGGCATCTCGTTGTCTCCACGGATGCATCTACCACGGGTTGGGGTGCCATGTGCAATGGGCATGCAGCCGCCGGTTCTGGACAGGAGCCCAGCGCCTCATGCACATCAATTGCCTCGAGCTGTTGGCAGTACGGCTCGCCCTACACCGCTTCCGAGCGTTACTCAAGGGCCAGCATGTGCTTGTCCGCTCAGACAACACTACGGCAGTAGCGTACATCAACCACCAGGGGGGTCTACGCTCACGCCAGTTGTCGCAGCTCGCCCGCCACCTCTTGATATGGAGTCAGAAGCACCTGAGGTCCCTTCGTGCAGTGTACATTCCTGGAGACCGGAACTGGGCGGCCGACGAGCTGTCCCGGGTCCGTCCCCTCTCCGGCGAGTGGCGACTCCATCCCCAGTCGGTCCAGCTGATTTGGGACGAGTTCGGGGAGGCACAGATAGACCTGTTCGCCTCTCGGGACTCGTCCCACTGCGCCCAGTTTTATTCTCTGACCCGCGGCACTCTCGGCTCGGATGCGCTGGCGCACAGCTGGCCACGGGGCCCACGCAAGTATGCGTTTCCCCCAGTGAGCCTCCTTGCACGGGTGTTGTGCAAGATCAAGGAGGACGAGGAGCAGGTCTTGCTGGTAGCCCCCTACTGGCCCACCAAGACGTGGTTCTCCGATCTCATGCTCCTCGCGACAGCACCTCCTTGGCCTATTCCTCTGAGACAAGACCTACTCTCTCAGAGACGGGGCACTCTGTGGCACCCTCGTCCCGATCTTTGGAGGCTGCACGTGTGGCTCCTGGACGGGACGAGGCAGGTTTGAGTTCGCTGCCACCTGCGGTGGCGGCAACCATCACTTCCGCAAGAGCGTCGTCCACGAGACACCTTTATGCGTTGAAGTGGAACCTCTTCGTCAATTGGTGCTCTTCTCGCGGAGAAGACCCCCGGAGATGTTCGATCAGTGTCGTGCTTTCCTTCCTGCAAGAAGGGTTGGAGCGCAGGCTGTCGCCCTCCACCCTTAAGGTTTACGTCGCGGCCATTGCCGCTTCTCATGAAGCAGTGGAAGGTAAGTCCTTAGGGAAGCACGACCTGGTCATCAGGTTCCTGAGGGGAGCGAGGAGGCTGCATCCGCCTCGTCCTCCCCTCGTACCCTCTTGGGACCTCTCGGTAGTTTTAAATGCTCTGCAGAGGCATCCCTTTGAGCCTTTGCAATCGGTAGAGTTAAAGTTTCTGTCCATGAAGACAGCACTCCTGGTTGCATTGGCCTCCATCAAGAGGGTGGGGGACCTGCACGCATTCTCCGTTGACGAAGCGTGCCTGGAGTTCGGGCCGGCTTACTCTCACGTGATCCTGAGACCCCGGCCTGGTTATGTGCCCAAGGTTCCCACCACTCCCTTCCGGGACCAGGTGGTGAACCTGCAAGCGCTGCCCCCGGAGGAGGCAGACCCAGCCTTGGCACTGCTCTGTCCGGTACGTGCTCTCCGCACCTATGTCGACAGAACGCAGTGTTTCAGGACCTCAGACCAGCTCTTTGTCTGTCATGGAGGGAGCCAGAAGGGAAGGGCTCTCTCAAAGCAACGGCTGTCCCACTGGATTGTGGATGCCATTGCTTTGTCTTACCAGCAGCAAGGCCTTCCGTGCCCCCTTGGTGTGACGGCCCATTCCACTCGGAGTGTGGCCTCCTCTTGGGCTTTAGCGCACGGCGCCTCGCTAACAGACATCTGCAGAGCTGCAGGCTGGGCGACACCCAACACCTTCGCCAGATTCTATAATCTGCGAATTGAGCCGGTATCCTCTCACGTACTCGTTTCGGCCAGTTCTGGATCCGCTCAGGTGTCTTCGCTTGCTCGCCACTCCACTCCCCGGACTGGATAAGTGCGATATTTCCTCAGTTCTTCCATTGAAGCCTTGAGTCCTCCAGCACCGACGATGCGGGCACCACTGCTGTGGCTCTGGATGCTGGCTAGGTGCCTCCATGCGCACGGTTCCCCATGGTAACCGTCTCATGTGTATTATCCACTGTAAGCCTCTCTGAGCATGTGTCTTCCCTTGGCAAGCCATCTGCCACCCCTGGAGCTGAAATTAGTAGCCACCTGCGGTTGGTGCTCCAGTGATTCCATATGTGTTCCTATGTGGCCATATGTGTATTCGTAAGTCCTCCCTTCGGTAGGCAGCTGGTAGCATGTCCCCTTCGGGATATGTTCCCAGTGTACCTTGGTAATCCTGTGTCTAAAGTCGGATCCCCTAAAAAAACAGGTAAGGCTCGGGGGTTAGACTTTCGCAGGGCACTGGAAGACAGCCTGAAGTTGCGTGATGGCACAGACCCCCAATCTCCGTCACTTCTGACGTAACTCGAAGTGACTACGAAAGGGAACGTCTCGGTTACGTATGTAACCCTCGTTCCCTGAGTAGGGAACGGAGACGTTACGTCTCCCTGCCACTTCTGCTGTATCGCTGGGTAGAGGCCGAGTTCAGTCTTGGCTCCTCAGCGAAGACATACTGCGGTTGCGTTCACTTCCTCCTTTTTATACTCACGGAGTAGGGCGGAGTACGCTATGCAAATTTCCGCAGCCCCAAGGCATTGCATGCCATTGGCTCGTGTTTTAATACTCGAAGAGGATTGGCTTTCTATGCGAAATCCCCCAATCTCCGTCACTTCTGACGTAACGTCTCCGTTCCCTACTCAGGGAACGAGGGTTACATACGTAACCGAGACGTTTT